GAGGTTAGGTTTTTATAACATTTGATGCAATTTTTAGATTACACAGTTCGGCTACCATAAAAAGGTGTACCTCTCAAACTTCGATAAAATAAACCGTTTCCGAGATATTCGAGATTAAAATAATTGTTTTATCGCATTATTTAAACGGATTAAAAGGTATTGAATAAACTAAAAAGGGCATTCCATGAGCCTCGGGACTTTTTGCCCTGACCGTCACATTAAAAAAATTGTAGTTTTTTCAATTAAAAAAATTGTTATCATATACCTTTTAGTCCTTTAATGAGATATAACAATTATTGTAATCTCGGAAACGGTTTATTTTATCGAAGTTTGAGAGGTACACCTTTTTAATAGTAACCGAACTGAGTAATCGAAAAATCAAATGGTATAAAAACCTTACCTCAAAGTTTGTATGGGACAATAAGCAACCCCTGTTTCTACGACACTGTGTTCACTCGAACAATTGTAAGTATGTGTGAATATGTGTTTTGGTAGTAAGTGACTGTTCGCAAAATATCAGCTTTCGAAGTCTACCATAGTAGAAGTTATATTAAAAAAACTGATATGATAAATAACACTTTATCACCCTGTATCTTTTAAACATAAGTAATTAGGAAAAATATTTATTTAGATTTTCGTCTTATTTTGACTTGCTTAATCTGCTACTAAATTTATGCCACTAAGTTTAGGGACACCTTGTATAATATTATATACTATTTAATGCTTTTGTATTTTTGTATTGATACAATAAAATAATTTTAACATTTAAATAATAATACTAATTAGTATTATTTTACAAGAAGGGCACTTTATTTTAACGATTGTATGACATTTGACAACTGTCAACTAACCTAAAGCTATAGCTATAAGTTATAACTTTAGCCCGTGACTAAAACCCTGTTCCTAACTTCAGTCCTTGACTAAAACGCCATAAAACCACAACTTGTCAATGTGTATTTAAAAGGTCACTTAGTGTCATGAAAACATGTACGATAATGGGCGTTTTAAGGGTGGAGAAGAAATATATATTTAAAAATTTAAAATATACTTTTGATTCTAAATAAGTAAATCCTGGTGTATTTAATATAGTTAATTGCGTGTTGTTTACACCTGTAGATTAATCCAGTACAAAATCGTAGCTACTGAACTAATTTAAATTTGTACAGAAACAAGATTATTAATATTTAAATATATATATATATATATATATATATATATATATATATATATATATATATATATATATTAACTATGGTTTCGCGTAAAAATCGAACAAATTTTGGACATTTGTTTGCAAGTGATGCCAGAATTGAATATATTTTTTTAACCTTGTTTCTACATCTAAATGGTGCATTTTTTTCAAAATTTTTTTATCCATTGACCGCCGTGGGTTTTAGGCCTTAAGTCACTCTACTGTGTTAAAAATAGATAAATTTCGATATTTTGTAATAACATTTTTATTTAAAAACGTATAGATTTGAAATTAAGATAAAATGTAGACCTTATTAGTGGCAATAAATCCACGTATAATTTTTTTTAGATTTTACCATACAGGGGGCGCTGGGGACAATTTCATTTAAAATTTTACCATTTTTTAAGGGCTAAAAAGTCGAAGAAGCAACGTTGTTTTATAATTTTGAGTATATCACGTTAAAGTACTGATAATTAACTATTATTTGATATATAAACTTTTATATGCAAATTATGTTTCTACGAGATACACCATTTTTAAGTTAGGCCTTCAAAGGGTATAATACTAACGTGTTTTACAAAGTATATATTCTTTTATCTAGTTTTATAAGATTATGTATTGTATATTACATATTATACATTATATATTACATATAATATATTATATATAACATACAATTCTTACATATTTATTTTAAAAAGTCGCCATAGATGGAGCTAAAATTACTTTTATTTATAAATTTTTAATTTTTTCAAGTTTACTAATTTTGATCATAGTATGCATCATAGACTTTTCTCTATGGTAACCTACAATTGTAGCATGAAATATAATTTGACAGTGTCAGCAAGTTAGACACAATAACCTACTTATAGCTACTTTAATTTAATTTTTTGCTGCACAACCAAGCTTCAATTTATGAACTGATGAAAGTAATATTGAAAGTAATATTTACCCAATAAATAAACTAGAATTAAGTCTTTTATTTTTATGTTGCAATTGGCTATTTAGATATATGTATATTTTTCATTAAGTTGGTTTTTGCTTTTTTGTAATTGGTTATTTTGCAATTATTATACAATTTGATATAGACTATACAATTATTAATAGTTTTCAAGATATAATTATTTTTTTTCGTTAAAATTTTGCTAAATGCACGTTAATCAAAAATAGCATCTAATTTTTTTGTTATTATGTTTGCTGACATTGGGTTGGAATTTTTGGAATATTAAAACATTGTTTTAAAGGTTTTTCAACAAATAGCTTAAGAAAAAACACTTGAAATTAGGCAAACAACAATAAGGTTTTTATTATGTAAAACCCTGTGTGTTTAAAAAAAATTAAAAAATCTTTCGATTGGTATTATAATAACTGTTTCCCAAAGTTAAAATTTCAGAGACATTTAACAATTTCTAATATTTTTAATACTATTTTGTATCAACAAACCTGTGAAATTATACATGTGGGTTAATGTGATAGTATTCATGGTTACCACCAAATCCATTGTTTAAAATTAATTAAAATATTTGATTTGATTGAAAAATTAGTAACTCGAGAAATATTGACTTTAGGTATAGGATATCGTATAGCCATTTTATTCAGAATTTTATGTAGAAATAAAAAATGTAAAATTTTATGAGGTTTACTGTTTACAATAACAAAGTTAAAGACATTTCCGGCAAAACAGTACTATTTTGTTCAAAATAATTTAGAAAAATAGACTTAAACTCTTTTAAAATTTAAAATAGATATTTTTTCCCGTTCCCTAGAAACTTATAATGGACCATGAATGTGGAACACCCTGTATATAATATAATTACGTATATTAGTGGCACACTAAAGTCTAAATCGAATAATTTACGCAATTAAAATTTTAAATAGATGACTTTCGCGATTCCCCAGAAACTTCTAACGGACTACTTACGTAAAACACCCTGTATATTAAATGTCATTTACGTGTTATGCTATACTTAATTATTAATAAAAGATACTACAATATTAGTATAAAAATGACAAAATGTACCAAACTAAACATTTATGAATACTGCTACTGCTAATTAAAAACTGATCCTGGCCACAGAAACATCATTTGCATAAAAAAGTTAATATATCAAATAATAGTCAAATATCAATACTCTAACGTGTTATACTCAAATTTATAAAACAATGTTGCTTCTTCGATTATTTACCCTTTAAAAATTGTTAAATTTTAAATTAAATTTTCACCAGCGCCCCCTGTACGTTACCATCTAAACAAAATTTTTAAATGGAAGAATTGTCATTAGTAAGATCTACATTTTGTCCAAATTTCAAATCGATACGTTATGAAATAAAAAAAGTTATTTAAAAAAAATAAAATTTCTTCATTTTTAACACAATGAAGAAAAAAATAAATATAAAAACAAAGTTGTCAATGGAGGAGATTTTTTTTTTAAAAGTACTGCATTTACATGTAGAAATATGGTAAAAAAGTTTCAATCGATTTCTTGAACCCTTGCAAATCGACCGTTCGATCCTTTCGCGAAACCGTAGTTAATTCTTAAAATTTTATAATAAGTGTTTTAAGTAGTACCTATTAAAATAATTTCATTTTTAACTTGCTTTTTTTATAAAAAGTTTACGAGATAATCATTTTTCTATTAAACGGTACAGAAATATTCAATCGTACGTTGTTAATAAACAAATGAATTTTTTGACTTGATATGAATGAGTACCTAGATTATTTTCTAGTACATGATTATAGGATTTAGTACCAACCGTTTCATACGCGATTAATGTGAAATAACTCATTTAACTACATGCTTCAAGCACCGTGCTGGCTTGCTACGTCCTGACGATCAGCGCTGACTATATGCTCCATGTGAAACAGTAGAAAGTATAAAGTCCAAAAAAATACTAAATAGTGTTTAAATTAATTTGGTATTTATATTAAAAATTGAAGGCAATTTAATGCCTTTGTGTCGAAAAAATGCCATTAAATTAATAGTTTTGATATAATTTATTTTTATTTATGGTAGACATGGTTTAAAAAATAAATATGGTAGAGATTGTTTAAAAAATAATTGATATAATTTGGTGTATTAGTTTAAATTTTAGGTGAGGTTTAAAATGACAAAGAGCACAAGAAAATTTCATTAGTTTGACCTAAATTGTAGTTAGTTTTTAGATGCGGTTTAATTATTTTTATATATGTACTTTAATCATCACAAAATGTAAGAAAATTTCATTAGTTTGACATAAATTGTTGTTAGTTTTTAGATGCGGTTTAATTATTTTTATATAGGTACTTTAATCATCACAAAATGTATACCTACTATAATTTAGATATAATAACAATGCAAATTTTTTTCTAGGCATTAAACATAAATGTGCAAACGCAAAACCATAAGTATCTACCTGTATACATAAATTATTCAGAGCCAAACAAATCTTTTACGATGACTGTACCAGTATTGTCAGACCGGTTACCTGTTAAGGTAAAATGAACCAAGCATTTTTAAGGAAATTTTATAATATAAAAACATAAGTTGTTTAAAATGATTTTTAATATAAAGTTTATACTAATATGCAATAAAATACAATGGATGAATACAATTGTACTTATTTCATTTTTAATTAAGGCATTTTTTAAATACATTTTAAATATTTATTTATTTTATAACAATAATCATAAATATCTTTGACAAAATAATGTTTATTTATAAACACTTGCAGGTACATAGCTTTTCTATGCATTCTTTAAATTCTGGTAAATATATATAGACAGAGAGAGAAACGTAAACCTTAAAAAGCTTAAAGAGAGAAATAAGTTCCCCCTTCTACATTCTTTAGTTGTTTTATAGCCGTTGTAGACTTACAGTTCTTGGTTCTGTGGCGTGGCGAAAGCAATTTATGATGATAAGTTAAACACAAATAAAAGTGGTGTAGTTACTGTGTTTTTCTATTAAACCATACCACATTGTTTATGTTATTTTTTAATATAAATTCAGGAAAAACGAAGAGGTAATGCAATATTACTTAAATAGTTCAGTTCCACATCTTAACTGTTGACTTAAGCATTTTGACTTATCGCATATAAAATTAATAACAATTTATATCAATTGAGTTTATTAAACCTATGAACTTAGTAGTATTTAAATTAGACATGTAATAATATAACTTTTTTCATTTTTAAAATCATGTTTGGATTAAAACTTAATGTACTATTTAATTTAAAAAGTTACAAACTAAAAAAAAGTAATTTATTATAGATTTCTATAACATTATTTAAAAAAATTCTAGGAGTATATTGGCTTTACATACACTTGTTTTGTATGCATTTTTTTAACAAATAATGGTGCAATTATATGGTATACATAGGTATGCCTAACATTAAATTTGGATTTCCAGATAAAGATGACTACCTATATGTATAGGTATATTTTATAAATATTTTAAAATTTAATGTCTTTGTCCGTTTAAAATTTTATTTTAAATTTATTATGGTCAAAATGTCTATACCTACTGGATTATTGTTTAGTTTAATAGTATTTTTTAGTAATAAAAACTTGTGATCAAAAAATGTATATTTTTTTATAAAAACTTAAATGCAAAGTATTAATAATTTTTTGTTTATTTAATATAAAATTTTTGCTAATATGAAGAGATATGTAATTTTAATAACTATATTATTATTATAAATATTAATTAAAGGCATATAATACGTCACGCAGGGAGGTGGATTCGGCAAAATTGACATTGCCCTGCGTTGCGTGAAAAAATATTTTTTTTTACCCTACCATTATTATTTTAAATTTGACGTGGTGTAATGTTTAGTGCACGGCCTCTGAATCACCATTTCATCCCTTCATACAAATATCATACCATACTTAAAATATTATATCTTGTTTAATTCTGAGGTTGGTCACAAGTTCATAATGAAATTAAGGAGGGAATACAACTAAATATAATTGATACTTTTAAGCCAGTACAGTTAGCAATCCAAAAAGTTGCTTTTATGTACTTTAAATAGATATATTCAGGCCAATTCACTAACATAAGTCGTTAACTTTAGCCACTAGATCAGTGGTTATCGGCAAATCCGGCCAATCAGATCGATTAAATATAAGGATAACCACTAACTCTAGTGGCTAACGTTAACGACTCGTGTTAGTGAATTGGCCCGATTGTTTTTATTTTTTCTGTTATAGTAATACGACAAAATGACGGTCTTCGGAATGGTGTCCGCGGTAGCGGGCTTTATAAAAGTCCGTTATCTGATTGATAAAGCTATGATTGATAACATGGTATTTAGAGCCCATTATAGAATTACATCTGCCATACTCTTCCTATCATGTATCATAATAACAGCAAATAACCTTATCGGTAAGAGATATAACTATTATTTTTTTTATTGCATTGGATTTTACACAATGTGACACATACATACGGCCAATAACCAACTAGGTATGTTATCGGCGAAAATATCGTGGTTGGTTGCTAGCCATCCCGATTCGGTAAATTTATAATTAAAGGATTATATTTATCCGAATGTTTGTTTAAATAACGATAATCAAAAGTTACTATATAATTTGTTTAATGGATTTATCGATTACTAAACATTACGGTTCATTCCTTTCCTTTGATTAGGGTGCTTCATTTTGGAGCGACATTTTTTTTCAATGTCCCACCTGAAAATCTTGTAACCGGTCAGAAAACAAAATTTTTGAGCTATTACAAAGCTTATAATCTTTATTTTAAGCCGTTGCTATTCAATTTTTAAATATTTCTCTTTAAAAACCATTAAAAAACAATGTTATTCTTTTCTTCTTCCGCTTGTACAGTAAAAATATTTTTTTCGAATTTCGGTTCTAAAATCTTTATACAGGATGAAATTATCTTTAAAAATGTCTATTTAAGCAAGCCTGTAAGTTGAATAGATTCTTCACAAATTGCCGTTCTACTCGAAAATCTTCTAAAATAGCAGTAAATCCGAGTAAATCGTAACTGGAGACTAAACTGTTTATTGTAGATAAAAACGTAAATGACAATTTTGTAGGGAATTTTGTGCCCTACAAATTTGTTAAGAAATATTTTTTGTATCACTTATAGTTTAGCTTGTACAGCCACCCAAAGTGTCAAATTCTTAAAAATTCAGTTTCTGACTGTAATAACTATACTATTAGAGTTACGTGAAAGAGTGGCTGTACAAGCTAAACTATAAGTGATACAGAAAAAATATTTCTTGACAAATTTGTAGGGCACACAATTCCCTACAAAATTGTCATTTACGTTTTTTATCTACAATCAATACTTCCAAATACGATATACTGCTATTTTAGAAGATTTTCGAGTAGAACAGCAATTTGTGAAGAACATATTCAACTTACAGACTTGCTTAAATAGACATTTTTGAAGATAATTTCATCCTGTATAAAGATTTTAGAACCGAAATTCAAAAAAAATATTCTTACTGTACGAGCGGAAGGAGAAAAAAATAAAACATTGTTTTTAATGGTTTTTAAAGGGAAATATTTAAAAATTGAATAGCAACGGCTTAAAATAAAGATTAAAAGCTTAGTAATAGCTAAAAATTTTTGTTTTTTGACCGGTTACAAGATTTTCAATGTCGCTCTAAAATGAAGCACCCTAATGTATACAGTTTGATTTATTTTGATTGGCGACAATTATGTTTATTTAAAAAAATCCGATTTTCCTTGGCTTTCTATGATTAATAGAAGAACTCCAAAAGTTATTAGGTATTTTTTAAATTTAAAAACGGATAGCGTTTCTGAATTTGGGATACCTAAAAACCCAACAAAATACATTTAATATACAAATTAAATTAAATAAGAACATTTTTAGCATTGTCATTTTTATCTTTACTTTGGACAATTTTACTTATTTTTGTAGTACAGCCATTCCACGCTACTCGGGAATTTTTGTAGCGTCCGTTACAATTAAAAATTGTGAGTAAAACTACCTTAATTATTATGCTTTTAAGCCCAATTATTACAAGCATAATAAACATGTGTGCAATATTAACTATTGTAACAGTATTTAATTTAATTACGGTAGCTTTTACTCAGAATTTTTTATTGTAACGGACGCTACAAAAATTCCCGAGTAGCGTGGAATGGCTGAGTAGTTGTGATACAGCATTACAATTTTTTAAAGGTTTTAACAACATAATATTAATTTTCATTTTTAGCCATTTTTTAAACATATAACAGATTTTGGCCTGTCATTTTATTATCATTAATATTTGACCGAAAAAGTTGCAAAAAGTTATGTATATGTAGTTGGTTAGATACCCAAATAATGAATAATATTTTTATTGTTTGCAAATAAATAAACTTTGAATTAAGTAAATAATTTTAAAATATTTGAGTTAAAGCGTCGAGCATTGTAAAATCTTAATACAAGAAACAAACCTCCTAAACTGCAATAGCAATCTATAGGAAAACAATTTATTAATTTGTTAATATAGGTGACCCGATCCAGTGCATAAATGATAGAGGTGTTCCTGGGCACGTTATAAATACATATTGTTGGATAACATACACCTTTACATTGCCACATGAACAGGGTAAACGTATTGGAACAGACGTTTCTCATCCTGGATTAGGAAACGATAATCAGGATAAAACATATCACAGCTATTATCAATGGGTGCCATTTGTTTTGTTTTTCCAGGTAAATAGGTGAAAGTTAATTTGTATCCAATTTTTACTTTACTATTATTATTCAGGGATGTTTGTTCTATATACCACATTGGATTTGGAAAAATTGGGAACAAGGAAAAGTAAGAATGATAACGGAAGGTTTAAGAGGTCTTTTAATTAGTTCAAAGGAAGAACGAGAGCATAGACAATCTAGATTAGTGCAATATTTAATAGAAACTATGCATTTGCATAATACTTATGCATTTGGGTACTTTTTGTGTGAGGCTCTTAATTTTATTAATGTTGTAAGTAAAACATAAATAGTGTGTATATGTTGCAGTCAGAGTAAAATGCAGCAATAATAATATGCCTAGGCATTTACTAAATGACAGGGCAGATGATTAAATAATATTGTTTCGCCATATGTACGCGTAGTTGTTCAATAAATGTCGGCATTCGAAACGGGCAGCAAATAATAAACAAACAGCCCACACATGATTTTTTGAGTTGGGTTGGTATATATATAGTAAAATTAACCCAATCTAAAAAAAATCATGGGTCAGCTGTTTGTTTATTATATGCCGAAAGTACATGGCAAAATACAGATTTAATTTAATTTGACAATCTGCCTTTGTAATGCCTAGGCATATAATTTGCCTGATTTTATTATATGACTTTATATTTTAGCTAGTAAATATATTTATGACAGACAAATTTTTGGGAGGATCATTTTTAAGTTATGGTACTGATGTTATAAGTTTTTCTAACCGAAACCAGGAAAACAGAACGGACCCTATGATTTCGGTTTTTCCTAGAGTAACCAAGTGCACATTCCATAAATTTGGCCCCAGTGGATCAATTCAAAAACATGACGCCCTATGTATTTTGGCATTAAATATTTTAAATGAAAAAATATATATTTTTATTTGGTTTTGGTTTATAATGCTAGCAGTGTTATCAGGACTTGCCATGGTTTATTCAGCAGCTGTAATATTATTACCAAGCACTAGGGAAACTATTTTAAAAAGAAGATTTAGATTTGGAGCTCCTAATGCTGTGGATACAATAATAAGGAAAACTCAAGTAAGCTTTTTTTACCAAAAAACTGCATTGCATTAATTTAATTTTAAGGTTGGAGACTTTTTATTACTACATTTACTGGGGCAAAATATGAATCTGTTAGTTTTTGGTGAGATTTTGGAAGAATTTGTTAGAAGGCTTAATTTTGGAAGTAACAGTAATCTACCTTCGGCTCCAAGTACTTTAGAAATGAGTCCAATTTATCCCGAAATAGAAAAATATGGAAAAGAGACTGAGACATAAATAAAACATCATATATTATTTAATAATAATATATTTATGTACACTTGACAAATGACAAAATGTTTAATGGTAAATTTGTGATCATTTAGGATATTTATTAATGCTTAAGGTATTTCATTTTTTTAATTTAGTGATAAGGTTTATTACATTAAGTAAGACTTATTGTCCCAATCTAGTTTATTGAAATAAATTTTTAATTTGCTAAGCTATTTTATTATTTTTATCTACTCCTACATTGACGAGCTGTGACTTTATGGCGTTTTAGGCACGGGCTGAAGTTAAAATAAAATTGGCTTTAAATTCTGATTTTTGTTCTTCGTAGATAAAGTATAGTATGCAACTCGTTTATAAACTTCTCTAGACACTCGTTTTTATTAAACACTCGATTGCAAGCTTCGCTCGTGCTTAATTAAACTCATAAATAAAATCACGTTTATAAAACTTGATACATAATATAATATTAGTTTTAGTGTTTAAAAACTAAATGCCAATATTATTTTATAACTAACTTTATAATAATGTTACAACATGTATTGTATACAGGGGCGTAGCTACCGCGGTATCAGCCGTATCAATAATAAGAGGCCCCCGGCTAGGGGGGCCCCGAATGGCTTCGACATGCATAAGCAAAAAACATATTACCCATATGTTAAAAAAATTGAGGCATGAAATTAAATAAATAAATGAATAATATTATTATTTAATTGTTTATAATTCGATTTATGAAATTATTTCTGAATACCCCCCTTTCCAACGAGGCCGTGAACTCATACGAATTGTTTCTGCCCTCACCTTTCCGCTATGCGTTGTCTACGGCGCAGTCTGCGAATATTGTTCTGTGCTCTGGCGCGCATACTGAGTCTGCTTTGCGTGTTATTATTAAAGGATATATTAATAGTAAACTAGAAATAATTATTAGCATTACAATTATTTCAAATGACTTGCCTTTATTTTGAAATAGAAACCTTTTAAAGGATGTTGAAGAACCTTTTAAAGGATGTTGATGAACGGTAAATTTTTTAAAATTTGCCTGTACATAAAAAGCTATGTATACATATATTATTTATTAAATTATAAAAAAATTAGTAAATGCAAAAAAATTATACTCGAAAAAATTTTGTTTGCCCAAAATAGACTTTGGGCGTGACACCCCGAATTTTTTGTCAGCAGCGTTTCATGTATAAGGGCCCCTATCAGATTTTTGATACGGGGCCCCCTCGAGGCTAGCTATGCCACTGATTGTATTATACGTATATTATGTATAACCTATAGGATAAGTCAATTTAAAAAAGTAACAAATGTTAAAAAAGTAATGTTACTTTCTTAAATTGATTTAACCTAATAAATAAAAGTAATTTACAGCTTTACTAAAATTTATTTTAGTAAAGCTAAAATAAAGATAATCATCAAAATAAAATAAAATAAAGACCAAATAAACAAAAAATCCAAATGAAACACGACGAAAGGAGGTCTCAAAAGAGCCATTTTTTCTGCATTGAAATAAATTTTATTTATTACAATTAAAAAAAAAATCATAAACAGGACAGAATCTGACATATTTAAAACCCACTGTAGGTGGTTGCAGCGCACGACACGACGCGCAGAAAGTTATATCCAACTGTGTGTAGGTGCCGCTGCGGGCTGTCTGTTTTTTTGGTGTCATGCATGTCAAAATTAAAGAATTATAAATGTCAAAATTTGCTTTTCACATTTTTAGTATTTTTTTGCGGTTGTGTAGAAAGAAAAATAACGTGTAAACAAACCCCGACAGTAAAGTGTTGATCTCTCAGCCTGGAAAAACGTCACTTTACCGCCTAGGTCTAAAATATACTATTACATCCGTTGCTATGGACGTTATATTATATTGTAGACCTAGGCGATAAAGTGACATTTTTTCAAGATAAAAGAATAAATGTACAGGCGAGCTTTAGCCAAGCCCGGACAATTTTTGAAGCTTGAAAAATCACTTTACCGCTGTGGTATACACGTTATTATTCTTCCTACACAACATGACTGCAAAAAAATACTAAAAATGTGAAAAGCCAATTTTTACATATGAAATTATTTAATTTTTACATTAATTTCATCTACAAAAGCAGACCACATACTTCCACACATATACAAATCAAATTTTAACCAAAAAAGTTAATTTTTAAATTTGAATTTAACATATTATTGCAGCGCCCTCTATTAAAAAATGTAAAAAAATACCGCCAAGGCGTTTGGGATTATTTTTTCTAGCCGTAGAAACATCTACAATAACTACAATCCCCCGATTTTGCATTTCTTCAAACAAAATATGTCAACAAGACATTTTCGTTTAAATTCTTTCCCTTGCAAGGGGAAGCGAAAGCATGCTTTCGACAAACCACTTCTTGAAAGTTCATTGCGATGTTTTGACTTTTTTGGCATTATAGAGTAACCGTCCTATTTTCCATGATTCTTTGCTTCTAAAATTATTCAGTTTTTTTCAAAAAATAATTTTAACAGCTTGTCACGCGCATTTGACTATAACCTTGAAATTACAAGGTTCTAAGTGCAGCTGCTGTCAAGCAAAAATGACATCTACAATATTAAATATTGCAGGTAGGGCAAAATAGTATCTCGAACAGTAAGATCTCCTCCAATATTGGCGACTGAGCGTAGAGACATTGTCTTTGATCGGTAAACTATCCTTACTATTCTTGATACCTAATATACAACATATTACATCACGTGTTACATCCGTTGTTATCGTTAAATATTAAAATATGGACAGTAAATTTTAGATGACATACATGTCAAATAATTGTATATTCTGTAACTAGTTAGGAATACGGCATATTCCGCTCGAGTTTCTGACGGTTTCACGACAGCGGAATATGCAATTCCAAACGTTTTTTAGACTATAATTTTTCTACATTTCTTAAAAATACCATAGAATTTAATTGGGAGAAAGTGAGGTTGGATCGTTCTAAAGTTTGTTCGAAATTAAACACAGATGTCGCCACCAGTGTTTATTCCGTCATCCGATGATAGAATAATTCATTCTGTAATACTTTAAGGAATATGTCATTCCACATTAAAAAGTGGTATGAGAACGGTCATATTCTGTAGAAGTAGAAAAAATATTTTTTTCAGATATTAAATAAAAAAGGTCAAAATATATTTCCAAGCTATGATAAAATACTAGAAGCTAAGAAGAACATTAATATAAAGGAGACTTCGGCCAAGGTTTCGATTTACTTGACAATACAGCACCAAGAATTTTCGAATCGCATACCGAATGTCAGACCAATGCCTGCCAGAAGACGTTGTTCTTCATACAAAATGGGGAATAGATGGCGCTTCCGGCCAAAGTAAATATTACCAATGTTTTTCAGACAAGAGTAACGTTGCATCTGACTCCCATCTGTTTATGACTTCCTTGGTTGCTTTAAGGATCACAGCACAGTCAACATAGACATTTGGAAGAACTTGCGTCCATCCTCAACGAACTATTGTCGAGCCCTACATTTCCAATATAAGAAGGAAACCCCCGAGATGACGAGGCTTGAGAAAAATCGAGTTGACACTGAAATAAAGGAATTATCTAAGAAATCGGAAATCGAACTGTCAGGTAAAGCACGAACTACATTTCACCATAATCGACAGCAAGCTTGCTCAAGTGGTTACCGATACTTCATTTGCAAGTAACTGCATTTTATGTGAGTTAAACCTTCTTAAATGAATGATTTGTCAAGGATGGATGGCTCAATTTTAAACGAGGAGGCTCTCAAGCTTGGAATGTCCACATTACATGCACGAATCAAATTCATGGAATTCATTCTGCATCTCAGCTACAATTTAGACTTCGCAGCTTGGAAAACAAAACCGGCAATACGTGCTTTTAAAAAGAAAAGAAAAAACGCGTTCAAGACGATTTTTTTAAGAAAATACCTCTAAAAAATTCTTTTCAAATCCTTTACCAATGGCTAACATTACAAAAGTAGATGAACTGAAGAAGACTAGAGTGATTCTGGAGGTAAGTTGCTGCCTCTCGAAAATTACGTTAAAGGAGTATTATTCTGAGACTGCTATTCTGGCTACACCATTATACTAGTATTATCTTCCTACATCAATTCACAAAATTATTTTCTACGGAGCAGAGATTATTGAATGTGCAGCTCTTCCTATAGGCTATCTCTCAGAGAAAACTCAAGAGTGTAGGAACAAAGATTATAAATTCTTCAGAGCCCATCACTCTATGAAATGTTCTCGCTTAGCTACTAATAAAGACGTTTTTATGGTATTTTGGTTAGTTCAGACCCATTCATCACTAGCCTAAGACCTCTTTACATGTAGCTTTAGAGACGATAAATAAGTTAAAAACCACTTATTAATTTACTTTTCCTTTTGGCTATAAATGAAATGAATGACGAAATGCCTTAATTTTTCTTCACTTAAGTAAGTCTAATTCTTCTGAATAATTTTTGCATGTTAAAGTAAAACGGTGACTCATTTTTTTAATTATTTACTATTTACTCCTTGGTATGTCCAAGAAATCGCTCAAAAATTAATTAAAAATTTTGATGAAATTATATTGGATTAAAAATATTACATAAAAAAATGTTGATGATATAATATCCATAACTTTACCATATTTATCAGGTTTAGCACCCCGATTTAATAAATTTTCATGAAAAAGAGGTTTTTGAACAAAAACAGCTCTTTTCGACCACTGTGCGTCGCAATGCCGATGGTCGATAAATTGTGACTAACTGCAACAGGTCGATTACACATTTTTTTCTGCATTATTGATTTAATTATTTTTTTCAAGCATTGTATTTAAATTTAAAAGTTATTCTAGATACAATACAATGCCAGTATTCCATAGTTACGCATTTTATCACAGCGACATTTTTTTTCTAATCATATTAAAGAATTTGTACATTTCTTATACGCTTTCAATTGAGAAAGTGGCTCAATCTTGAACTGTGGAGAAAATCGGGTACTGTCCAAAGAGACGACGAGATTTTACTTTTCTCGACTGTACTATTTGTCATTACTATGACGATTATACAGCGGTTTATAGTTTTCTTAAAAATAAATTACTAATTACACAAAATTGTACTAAGTTCTTTAATAAAATTAAAAAAAGCATGGTGTTCAACTCTTGAGAAATGGCGATTTTTATTCGAATGAATTACTCCACTCGCCTTCGGCTCGTGTCGCAATATTTTATCC